CCCATTTTTAATGTTTTTTATTTACTTGTTTCCATTCTTTTTTCTTAAATCAAGAAATTACATTCTGTTATGATTCTGTGGTTAGGTTAATTATATTCATGCTAATCACGTGCGCATAAATTAAAATGGCATCAAACCACAAACCCACGCGGTGGGCTGGTGGCTGCAGCTAGTGATGGGCGATATGGCCAATTTTCTTAATTTTCGATAACGATCAATATTGGACTTTTAAAGGAAATATCGATTATTAACGATACGATAACCACACCTTCATTTTTGGGGCGTGTCAAGGGTGTGGCTAATGATTTTGGCACAGATATAACTGTACTTGTCATGAGAGAAGATCATTTTCATGCTCTTGAACTTGGTTCACTTCTTATTGGGGTAGGCTGAGCTAACAACTGGTCAGTTGCTTCTTTCTTGCAGTTCAACAGTGCAATTACTTATTAAAATTAGTTATTTAACCTTAATAAATGGGCGTGGTCAATAAATCGGTGAAAATTGCATAAAAATTTCGATAATGATTCAAATCGATTCCGTAAAATATCGTTTATATCGATAAAGAATCGATATATCGCCCATCACTAGCTGCAGCTGGATTTTGTCTTCCATTTTGTTCTCTGCCCTCGCTTCTTTTTGAAGCTACCTTTGTGGTCCTTGACCCAAGCCCAGAGGAGTGATGTAAAAGGCAACTTGAGCTGTTCTCTAGTTTAAGAGATTATCTGGTGTATAGAAGAAAGATGAAAGAAGAAGAAAAAGTCTCAAGAATTTTGTAGAAATTTGAATTTGGGCCTATTTTCCAGAAATGCTCTCGCTACATTACAGTTCACTTTAAAGGTACCAAGAGAATCGCTCAGTGAAGGAGAGCTCATCTAAGCCATTTATAAGGCTGTACAACGTAAGATAAAAGAGATATAAGTGTTTGAAAATCATAAAAATGGACGCCATCTTGAAAAATCAACCTCAATCCTACCATAGATATTAGTGGTGGGCGATATATCGATACAAACGATATTTTACAGTATCGATTTATATCGGTATCGAAATTTTGAAGGAATCTGGATTGATACGTTGACCACACCCATTTATTATGGTTAAATAATATTAATAATGAAAATTTTAATAAGTTAATGACGTATAATACACACACGTGGATACACATGCATGAAAACATCGATGAAAACAGTCAATAATAAGGGGTGTGACTCCATAGGTGTGGTCTAAATATCGTATCAAAACTGTATCGATACTCTCGATATGAGCTGATATCGATCGGTATCGTATCGAATCCATTTTGGCCAGTATCATCCACCACTAATAGATATTATAGACTACGTAACCGGGATAGGAAACTAAGATCCCCCCGGCGGACAACGTCCGTGATTGGATTGGGCGTTAAATAGAATAAATTTGACCATGTTGCTTGCTTTTCATGCAGAATTAATGAATTTTTGGTTTTTAAGCAGTATTATAGTCAAATGCTTTGCATGAATTTAAATGCTAACCCCCCAATTCCATGCACACAATATCAAACTATCCTCATCCAATAGGAGAACCCTGTGCTTGCTGTGTAAAAGCTGTAACAGGTACAACAATGGGCTGTTCGCAAAAACAGTATTTTAGTTATTACTCCTCTAACATAGCGAATCAGTAAATGAAACTATGACAGTTCCATGCACAATGATTGTGGCAACATCTTCAATGATCTTGTTAGTCTATTTTTGCCCGTGTGATAGTGCAACAGGTACATAAAGTTTTTCAAATTTGCAACTAACACAAATTTGAACAAAATCACTGTATATTTGCAAAATAACAATGGTATCAGTATTTTTTTCATTACAGTCATGTCACACAAACATTGAAGTATTGAAATATCATTAAAATAACAAGAAATCAACATTGGCTTGAATACAATCTTCCTTTGAATGTCGTCGATGAGTAGCCATTTTTTGACCACACCCACTAAAATCCAATGATGGTCGTTGGCCGGGTGGTTGATACTGGTTTGAATGGATCACGTGAGCTTGTTTCCTATCCCGGTTACGTAGTCTATAATATCTATGATCCTACATATGTATATAGGCTACCGCCTACATAATAATTATGGTATTTTCAGTGTACACTTTACATGATAGATCTATAGTAGTTAATATATTAATTTCTATACATGATATTTCATTAGGACCAGAGAAGAATAAGGATGCAGGACAGATACAGGTGTATGTCGTAAGATGGCGTCCATCACAATGTTCAGTTGATCCAATAGAAGAAATTATGTATACGTATAGTGCTAAGCATTTTATGAAAAAGGTACTATAAGAAATTATAAGAATTGATTACATGCATGTATCAGTATCATATTATTATTATTATTATCATTATTGTTCAAAAACATTATTATTATTATTATTATATTATTATTATCATTATTATTATTATTATTGTTATTATATAAAACAACAATAGAGAAAGTAACACATACATGTAGATAACATTATGATGGGAATAGAGGGAAAGCTGTTATTATTATTATTATTGTTGTTATTGTTATTGTTATTATTATTATTATAAAACAAAGAATAGAACAACATTAGCCAAATTTATTATTATTATTATTATTATCATTATTATTAGGACAAAGTTGGGGCAGGGTGAAAAATGGAAAATATTATTTTTATTTTTTTATTGTTATTATTATTATTGTTGTTGTTGTTTTTACAGCTGTCAGAGTTAAGTGGAGTTCCTGCTGAGTATATCTCTTATTCAGAGGTTATAATCATTGAAGCATACACATATTAATACTCTCTCTGACTCTATATATTAGGGAATATCATTTCCAGTGGAGATATCATGTCTTGATATTGAGAATAAGTTGACATGGTATTCCATCACTTCAGACAAATACATGTACTTGTCCTCTTTTGGATTGTATGGTGATGGAGCTGTCATATATTACAAGTACTAATGAACACCCACACACATTATGTATACACACACACTTACATACACCTCTTACTGTTTATAATTATTTAGAGACAATAGAGAGACAATGAAGAAGTTAACAGATAAAGAGAGATCAGAAATACAAGAGGCAGAGGAAGCAAGGTCAGTAAACCTCATGTTTCATCATGTACATGTACAATCAGTTAATGATTACCTTTACTTTAGTGTATACAGTAGTATTATAAGTAGGCTTCTGCTTTTTGTGACTAAATTATTCGTGCACTCATTAATTTTATTGTAGGTTGAAGAGGATTAGGGATCACATCACAGCATGCAAATACTTAACTTACCTGTAGACGTTGATCTGACTGAAATGGATTGGTTTGATTTTTAAGTGTTGTATCAAGTTGTATTGCTACTCTGCCAAAAAATTAATCGCTGCCTAGCTATAATTATTTTAAAGTAAAATTGTTTTTCCAAATACATTTTATTTAATAATTTGTGTGATTATAGTTTGTTCTTTAGTGACTCCTTTTTGTTGCAAGTCCCCACAATTAATTGTTGTATAGCTTTAAATTTTTATTGTTAAAATTATTTTTCATCATTTCTGTTATAAATCTGCATGCTATATTTATGATGCTACTCACATAAAGAAAAATAGGTAGACTAGGGATTACAAATTTACAGGCGAATTTAAAAAAATATCACTAAATTTTAGTCTTGGCACGCCCCTTCTAATTCTGCAGCAGAAGGGCTTACCCCGGACTGGAAAGACTAAGAAAAGAGTGCTGTTGAGTAATTCAGTTCTGAGGCCCCTGGCCTTAGGGCAGCTTCTTTTAATGGAACTATGGCCACTAATCAAACATGTTTAGGTAGTCATGTGGTATTATATGATCTGACATTTTGATTTTGACTGATAGATATTGGGGACTTGATTGATGTTCTTGACTTATTAAAGAGATGTGGCTTTCAAAGAACAAAGTGGCAAGAGCTAGGGCTGAGACTAGGTCTAGTAAAGGATACATTGGAAGCCATTGAAGCAAAGCATCGTGGTGATGTATATCAATGCTTGACAGAGTGCCTCTCCCAATGGCTCCGTAGAGCTGATAATGTTAACAGTAGAGGAGGAGCCAACTTGGACTCACTGTCAGATGCTCTACGATCTATGAATGAAACTGCTGTAGCTGAGAAGCTAAGTGAGTCAACCATAACTGTATGTAATTATAATCATTGTATTTTCTATCATAGAACATCAGGTTCTTATTAACATTTTAAATAATCGTCATACTGTCCTGTCTCAGTCTCTTTGTGATTCTGTTGCTATTGCTCGGTTACTTAATGGTGAACGTATGTTAACACAAGAAGCAGTTAGTAGAGTGGTGTCAGCTAGTCCCTCTATTCCTAATCAACGTGAGGCTCTATTAACTGGTGTCAAAGAAGCTGTTCAAACTGATCCCAACAGTTTACATACATTTGCTAATGTATTGTGTACAATAAGTACTAATGTATCACTGGGACAAACTATACTGGATGATATTAGTGAGTATCATAATGTAATCTCTCAAGGGCCGCTCAAATTAAATTCATAGTCATGTGTGGGTGGAAAACATGAATCAAATTGTAGTGTTGTCCTAATTAAAACCATATCTTAAGGCTTTAAAATCACAAAAATTAGTACTCACATTTATTATATGGGCGGTAGCCTATATGTAGGATTCAGGTTGGTTCATATGGCTGCCGTTTTTATGATTTTCAAACACTTATAACTTTTTTATCTTACATTGTACAGCCTTATAAATGGCTTAGATGAGCTCTCCTTCACTGAGCGATTCTCCTGGTACCTTTAAAGTGGACTGTAATTTAGCGGGAGCGGGAGCATTTCTGGAGAATAGGCTCCAAATTCAAATTTCTGCAAAATTCTTCAGACTTTTTTCTTCTTTCATCTTCTTCTATCAACACAGAAATTTTTTAAACCAGAAAACCGCTCAAGTTGGCTTTTACATCATTCCTTTGTGCTTGGGTCAAGGACTGGACAAGTGGTTTCAAAAAGAAGCAAGGAGAGAACAAGATGGAAGACAAAATCCAGCTGCAGACACTGCATGGGTTTGTGGTTTGATGCCATTTTAATTTATGCACATGTGATCAGCATGAATATACCATAGGATGATTAATATTTGCAACTGCTAATATTCGCGAATTTTTCCCGGGCTAGCAATTGCCATAGCAACCAGATGCTATTTTAATTGAAAACAGCGCGTTATTGAAGCACAGCACCAGGTTGCAGTGTTCTTGAGTTGTTATTCTTTTTGCTGTTACTAATCCTTGGACTCTTTGAAGCTGCTTTAGCCAGTTCTTTTCAAAAAATACTCTACTCGCTGTGTCTTGGGATTCTCCACCCATTCTAGTTAGTGTTTATTGACTTGGGTGTAGTTTATAATCATGACCAATGGATCAGCACTGATTTTGCAGCAAAGAACTTGAAGGTAGTGGCCCATACAGAGAACTGGATGGCTCCACTAAAGCTACTAAAGAATAGCTGATTAGCTGCTGAACACTGTAATTGTATAAACATGTGGTCAATTGTCATAGCAACTATTTTCCATGGAAATTTTTATTAGCATTTGCTAATACCATATAGTGGGTATATTTCGAGGATAATAATTTTCACAAATGGCCCATATCCGGAGGTTCACGAAATTAATTTTCACGAATTGCCACTTTTCTGCCATCTTGTACCGTATTAAATTGATTTTCAAGGAATTTAATTTCGCGAATTTTCAAAAATCTGTGAAATTTGTGAAATTTGTTATCCTCAAAATAAACCCGCTATACGGCATTAATTGTCCTACGGTAATTAACTTAACCACAGAATCATAACAGAATGTAATTTATAAATAAAAAAAAAGAATGGAAACAAGTAAATAAAAAACATTAAAAGTAGTAGGATTAATTTGGAAAAAAGTAAAAAACAAGAAGGTTTTTGCAAACTGGTGTAGTAAGAAATCCTACACCATTGCATGAAAGACATGCCACATAATAGTTCAGTATCATATAAGTAGTTTGTGTGGATAATTACAATGCTTTTGGGTAATATTATTTGTGCAGTGGTGTAGGATTTCTTACCATACCAGTTTGCAAGTACCTTCTTGTTTTACCAAATTAATCCTATTACTTTTCCATTTTTAATGTTATTTATTTATTAATAATTTAAATTTACTAATAGTTATTAATTATTGCACATGCTAAATGCTAAATCAGCTTCATTAGCAAATCACATATATTTGTCAACTTAAAAATAAGTTGCTTTAAGGTACTACTGATGCTATTCAGTATATCCTAATCTGTTAGTTTATTATGTGTTTAGGTAGGTATTTTCCTACTCCTGAAGTAGGTATGGTTCCTGAGACTATTAAAGATCGTGATGTAGTTCCACAAGGTAATAATTATTAATTAACATTGATAATACATTCATTAATATTTATAGATGATACAAGTTCTGCTGATGAAACTAAGACAGCGGAATCTGGTACATGTATGTATTAAACATATAATTATTGCTTCGTTTATTTTTAATTCATAGACACATCTCCTGATGCAGCATTTGCTAGTGATTCAACTTCACAACTTTTACCACATCAAGGTATACACCTTTTACATACTACAAATGTACAAAGCTAATATCTTTCATATAGTTAAAGTACATGTTCCTGTTCCAGAAAGCTTACTAGTGGATTTTACTTCAATGAGAATGTCTTATGGAAGGATGTTTTACAATGTTGGCAAGATTATTAAACAGAAGCGCTGTTCACTAAAAGATATAAAGGAACTCCTGTCGTGTTGTAGTACTGTTCTTAGTGAAAAAGTAAAGAAGTGTCATCATATTTCTAGTATCTTGCGTCTTATTCAAAATGAGTGTTCACTAACCAATATTGAACTCCTTCATACTGTAGTGGATGAGATGAAGATCACTGAAGCAGATGAACACATTAAAGAATATAGAACAGAGTTAAAGGAATTCTGCAAGTCACTCTCCATTAGTCTTTGTTTGAAGGAAAGATTTGCTTCCATTCCTCCTCTACAATGTGAAACAGTTACTCTTCTATTTGACTGGGAGCCTGAGAAACATGTGCTACAGGATATTAAGGATATACTATCAAAAGTGTCTGGTAAACTACTGAAGATCGAAACTTCCACATCAATATCTGTCACTTGCTCCTTTCCTTTCTCTGATATTGGGTTTACTGTATTGAGGATGATAGAGAATATTCATATACTAATGGGACAAGGATTAAAGAAACTGACTATTGGTAACTTAACATTATGGAGGAGACAAGATGTTAGACAAAAGGTATACGAATAATTGAAAATTGTTTTTATAATTATATTTTTGTATAGGAATTAAAAGAAAAGGATCAAGACTTACTACAACATACTGATGTCAGTTAATAGAATCATTCCTTTTATTAGTTACATTTTAGTACCTATACAATGTCACAATGTATTCAGTTGATTGTATGATGACTGATGCATTATGTTAATTATATGTACAGGTTATTTCTTATATTATACTTGAAGAAGCTGAATATAAACTAAGAGATTCTATCAGTAGCAAAGAGAAGGTATGTCACTCATGCTACCAAGCTGTGTAATCCAATCTTATAGGAAACAATTAAATTGAAACAAGAAATATCAAAGACTCAAGTACTTGAGGTTAGAAGTTTAATTTTAAATTCTTTGAACACTTTAAGCACAGGCTCTTAAATGGTTGATGCAGTTGACTATGCACCACTAAATTTTAGAGGGAGCTTAATTTGGCAAAATTTACATTTTGATAATCATTCGCTAGAATAATAAAGATCTCTAATTTTGGGTCATTATGTGCATGCTCACATGACCTATGGCCACAAATTTGTCAAATTAATGCTCACCAACCATCAAAATTTCGTAATTTGCCAAATTTACTCTCTCCAAAATTTCCTGCAATACTATAGTTTACGTATTATAATAATCATTAGGAAGAATCATTGTCTGTTCAAGGTGATACTGAATCAATTAAAGCAGTTGAAGTACTGATATCTCACTAGTTTGTATTAATTATTATAATTATGATAGGAAGAACCACTTGATAAAGAGTTAACTGTATTGAGCTCTCAGTTTAATGAGATACAAAAAGAAAATAAAGAATTGTCAGACAAATTATTAAATTTGAGATCACTTTCTAGTAATACAGGTTAGAGTAGTTTTATTAATTATACTAATAATTATATAATCAATTAAAGCTGCTAGCAAAGTGAAAAGAGGAATGGTTCTTGAAATTGATGACTGCAAATTTTATCTTGAAGCAATGACAAGTCCAGACTATCAGCCATTAGTAGATAATAAAAGAATAATAGAGAAATTACAAGAAAGAATAACATTAATGAATATGGAACTAATTACTAAAAGAGAACATAATGAGAAGATTATGGAAGGTATTAAAGGTTATTGATGGTGTGACATTATTTGATTGTTGATATTTGAATAGATTTGAAAGAGGCTGAGGAGAAGAAACAGAGAGAAAAGGAAGAAAAAATTACAAAAGAAATGTGTTCAGTAAGAGTGAGACAGACTAAGTATATACTAT